ATTAAGAGTCAAATGGCTTGTTTCTTGTGAAATTACCTTTCTCTCGCTCACCTCTTCTTGGATCTACACTAGCTAGAAGAATAATTAGTTATAAGGGCACAGCCATTTTCAGACTTTAATCATGTAACAGAGAAATCTCCTGCAGTGAGCATATTACATCTGGAGATGGGGAAAGGAGGCGTGGGTGGGGCGTGGGTAAGGTGGTAGTGTGGATGAAGCATTGACTAACACTTAAGAAATCTGAGCTGCCTCGGTCTTTAATTAAAAATTGATGTCATATTAGAGATGAATATTTCAACTCAACAGCCAGAGGAAAGTGGAGTGCTTATTGAACTTGTCAGCTCTGCAGGACAAGCACATGCTTAAGCCCCATCGGGTGGCCCCCACTGAAGGATTCAATCAATAAGTTTACTCTTTTCCTGCTCATGCATTCATATAACAGGCAAAGATACATATGTAAGCTGTATGTCAAAAAACTGACACACTACATTCAGCTCAGGTGTCCCAACAAAAGCTTCACATAAACCCTATGATGAACACTACCATGGCAATGCCATTTTAGCTAATAAGGCAATCCATTGCAATATTATCGTTCATTTTGACTGTTTGTTTCCCACTGATTGCATTTTTATTACATTTTGGTCCCTCCATTATAAAACATCTAATTCTTGAGCTGCAGAATGTGCCACTGTGTTCATGAGATCTGATGCTCAGCAGCAAGTGTACAGTCAATGGGATTTGAAGTGGTTTTAATGGGAACAAGTACATGCTGTGACCGAAAACAAAGCCTGAAGATCAGTGAGAGAAAAACGCACTGAAAACGCAACAAATTCTCATCTCAAAACGTAACATATGACGCCATATGACAAATTGTTGGTATGTTACGCAGTCGGAAACATGAGGAATGAAGCTACACATGTACATTCATTTTAGTTTCTCATCATTAATCGCTTTGGAAAACACTATCTAATATGATTAGGGATAAGATTATTATCAGGATTAAGGTTAGGCCTGGAATACACGGCTGGAACTTGTGTTACCGCCGGGAGTGTCATTCTATTGGATTCCATTCGCAATACGGCGCGTATCATGTCGACATGGAAGATTACCTTTCGCGTTCCTATGGGATGTCTCGGGACGTGACAAATCGTCGGTATGTTACACGCTGGGAATGAGAACGGTCTCGAAAACCAAGACAGTCTGCTGAAAGACAATAAGACGGGCGCAGTTAATGTAGTTTTGTTGCTACAACTCCTTTTTACAACAGTAGTTGATTTAATTATTTGATTTTTTGTTTTGAAAAAAATATCAGCAAAGGTACAAAACAGATGAAAATGCCAAATCCTCATTGAGAAGGAAAAAAAATGTGAAGTTGATTACCTAATCTGTTCACAATAGAGATGTGAAATCCACGTATCTCTTCATCTGTGAAGTATATTTTGCAGGATATCTCCAACAGTCACAAGTTACGTCAGAATGTGTAGACTACTTCTTAGAAACAGTGGTCTATCACCAGTCCCTTACTTCTGTGAGTTATGGCGGAGATTTTACTTAAGTCACCCCATGATCTCTGCGCTATATTATGGCAACAGAGTGTTTCTGTCACCAGGGGAAAGGGGTTAAAATGGTGTACCTGTCACAGTAACAGGCTGATTATTGCCTGTGGAGCAGCCAGGCTTCTGAGGATCGCTCCCCTACCATACGTCCTGCTGCTAGAGAGGCTTGGGGCCTGTGCTCACTGAGGCTGAATGACTCACAATTACCACAGCGACAGAGCCCGCAGCCACCTCCCATCCTCTCCAGCCGTTTCACTGACTCACTTAGTGCACATGACAAATGACAAAATCACCCCGAACCTCCACCCCCTCACTAAGACCCGACTGCCCATCGCCCACACTTTGCATACAGTATTAAAGCTGGGATACATCTTGCCAAGCTTCATGAAACAAAACAAACTTACTCTGAGAGAAACTTCTTCTGGTTTTTCAAAGCAACATTACACTATGTTACAATATATGGCTGGTTTATGTTGTAAATTTTAGGATGACCTAGTGAACAATAAGACTTTGGTATAGTGGCTACAGCCCTGGAACAAGTGTACATTTTCTAACTCTTTAAAACACTTTTTAAAATTTTATGAAACTGATCATTAAAAAAGGCAAGGTACTCACAGTGCATCGTCATCTGTTAGATTAGATTATAAATCTGAAAGCAAGTGGCTTATTTAAATACCCAAAGCAGATGGCATTTAGTGCTGGATTGTTAACAAAACAATGTTTTTGTTTCCCAAATATAAAAACATTCCCCTAAATTGAAGGAAAACGAAACTAATTTCAGTTATTCTACAATATCTTAAATCACAAGCTTCCTGTACTTTCATAGTTAAATGCAAAGGGGATAAGAATTGTAGCACTGCAATGTCATGTGCTACCATGTAATGTGTGACTTCATTTACCTTTAAGATACATCATTCAACAGTGAAACCACAAACAGTAGTATCCATTTACCGCCAAAAACACAACTCCAGTTAAAGGCATTGTGTTTGGACTGGTGCTCAGAGTGTGTTCTGTTACTCTAGTAATCATTGTCGCTCTAACTCAGGTTTTCTTCAGGGCCAAATTAAGCTTATTCTTCCATTTGCCTTTGACAATGATGCTGTACACTGGATCTGACACTTCCAGCAGTGCCAGACATTTAAATCTTCTGTTTAACAATAGCACAGCGTTTACTTCATCTCTACTCCTGCAGCCCAGCCTCTCTGACTCCCTAATGAAGACTGTGCAAAAGAGGGAAGGAGGAGGGATACTTTGCTTAATGTGTAAGCTACAACAAAGCATGTTGCAATATGTTTCTGCTCAGATACGAGCACTGGCACCATCTGAGAATTGCTGGCAAAGTGATGAGGATCTTAAAACAAATGGGCAGTTTCATAGAAACTGTAGGACACCGCAGGGGCTCTTGAGTGCTATCTGGGGAGGCAGGCAGATTGCTACCCTCTGTGCCCAGCAGCCATGGGCTCACTGAAGAAGAGAAATCAAACACAAACTAGTCCTTCAATAGGAGCCATGGGTAGTGGTATGTCATCAAAGTCATCCTGTCCAGCCTCAACTTTCTGGTCTAAAAAGAAAAAATGAGAGAAAAAGAAAAAAAAAACAAAGATATGTTTGAAAAGATTAAAATCAATAAGTCTAAGCGCTTTTGAATTTTGGTTCATTATTAATGAGTTTGGGATTCTCAAAGAAGCTATCTGTTTCAAGAGGAAGGAGTCTTTGTCAGGACTGTTATCGGCCCCCGTGGGGAGACTGAAGGATCTAAGCGGCAGTGTAGCGTAGCAGCAGACAGGTAACTAGAGCAGAGGGCATCTGGCCTGTAACAGCCCCATGGGAATAAAACCAGATTAAGGGAAAAATGGTGTCCTCTCATCTGAGTCCACACACCAGACCACAACCACATCAGTGGGAATCCTTTCAAGACAGTTGAAATGCGATACACGTTGTTATGAAAGGAAATACATGTTTTTAGAGAGACAGAAGAATCAATATCACTGACTAACTGCAGAGCAAGTGAACAAATCTGAGTGAGCTTGAAAAACCTGCATAAAATGGAATAAAAATGAGTCAGACTTAATAATCCTGACTAAGCCTGTATAAGGAAGCCCTGGCAGTCAAGACAGTAGATGGATCAGAGCACAGACAGAGATCCATGCATTATGCATCATTGTAAAATCTCTCTGGGTAGAGAGCACTCACACACACACACGCACGCACACACATACACAAACTTACCCCAGCGCTCGCATTTGCATCACTTATTGTTTGCATTTACCACAACTCAAAATTCACAGACGATGTGAGTGTGTGTTCCTTACTGTCAGATCCAAAGGACACAACAATTCTGGATACCTCCATGGCACATTAGACAGAAGCTACCTGTTAATAGATCATTACCATTGAATAATTACCCATTACTTTGCAAGCACATTCACACACTCATCACAAAGCTACTGCTGAGCACAGCAGCACTATGTTATCTCCCTCCTTCCTCTTCCCCTCCCTTCAGTTGATGTTAACATCTGACAGCTTTGTGTGTCTGCCGATACAGATTTTTTCTTTAATTAAAACACTGGAAGTCTTAATTGGACATTACACTTTATTCTCAGGCCCTACCGTTTGCCCACCTCCCCACCCTCAAACACTTTGATCCTCCAACCAAATGTTTCGAGGCCATAACAGCTTCGCCATGCACTCATACCAGAGTGCTTAAAAAGCAAAAAGCTCACTTTAAAAAAAGAAACATAGCTTTGTCTCTACTTTCCACTGACATTTTTCCTTTAGGATTTTAATACAAGGCAGAAAAAAATCTTTCCAGGTGGATTATCTTGCAATTTAGTTCTGGCGAAAATTAATTAATTAATTCTCAACTTGGAAAAAATACTTTATAACAGTTAGTATGAAGGCAAATACTTGTGCAAAAACTCCACTGATTGTTGTAAGAAACAACTTCAGGACACATTTCCTGATTGCAGCTCTTCATTGTTTCAAATCCTTTGCAGAAAAATATCCACTTTCACAAATATTGATTAAACTGTTCAAGAACTCAGGAGTCGCACATGCCACGTGAATTCATTTATGATGTGGATTTTGTGTTTGAATCTGTTCTTTGATCCCTCTGGCCTCCCAAGTAGCTGATGGAGCCTAGTGAGCTTAGGGAATTACACTGTCTCTGTGAGAACGTGACATAGGGGAGTATTTCTTTCTCAGCCAAGGTAAACAAAAGATTTTAATAATAGCACTACGTGTAAAGTTATATAAATATACATAAATAAAACATTGATAGAATGTCAGTTAAAATCTCTCGAGGTATGAACAGTAAATTAAGTATTGATCAAACTGTTAATTTGGTTTCTGTCTACATTTTTTTCTACCTTGCTAATAATTGCTTCTACCTTTTTTTCCCCTCTGTTTACCTTCTCTGATCCCCTCCTCCACAATACTCTCCAGGTGGCACTGAGTCAAGAAGATGACTCCTCAAACTCCAAGAGCTCCTCAGATGACTCCTCCCAGACAGTGGGCCTCCTGGGCGGGCAGGCTTCGCTCTCACCCCTGAGCCGCTGGATGCTACACAGTAAAAGCAGAGCTGCTAACGCCACCTCTCTGGAGCTGCCCTACCACTCTCCAGTCCCTTTCTCAAAGCAGGAGTTTTCAAAACAGGAGTTCTGGGAGATGTTGGGCAGTGATCTGCTCAAACCCGACGCCTCGAACCCCAGGGTCAAACGCCGACCAATTGTTAAAACCGGCAAGTTCAAGAAGATGTTTGGCTGGGGAGACTTCTATTCCAATATCAAGACAGTAAGGCTTAACCTGCTAATCACCGGCAAGATTGTGGATCACGGTAACGGCACATTCAGCGTCTACTTTCGACACAACTCCACAGGCCAGGGCAACATCTCAGTCAGCCTGGTACCACCTGTCAAGGCAGTAGAGTTTGACCTGGAGCGCCAGAGTGTGGTCTACCCCAAGGACTCCAAGATCTTCAACTGCCGCGTAGACTATGAGAAGGTGGATCGCCAAAAACGCACCTCGTTGTGCAACTATGACCCATCCAAGACCTGTTTCCAGGAGCAGATCCAGAGCCACGTGTCCTGGATTTGCTCCAAGCCTTTCAAGGTCATCTGTATCTATATTTCCTTCTACAGTACGGACTACCGCCTGGTGCAGAAGGTCTGCCCGGACTACAACTACCATAACGAGATGCCCTACCTGCCTTCGGGCTAGAGGACCTGTAGGCGGGGAGGAGAGGCAGGAGGAGAGAGGAAAAGGGGGATGAGTGGGAGTGACTGCAACTCGTGAGGAGGAAACCAAGGCTGTGAATGTCATAGCGGCAGCGAGACACTTTAAAAAAACCTCTCTGTAGCCTGACTGTTGTAAGATGTATAAACATATATGCAAAACATAAAGTACAGTATGCAGATAATGAGGCATTCGGAATGCTTAACTGCAGTATTCATTAACTGGACTGGTAGGGAAAAATCAAATACCGCCAACTTGCACATTCTTACCTCAGACCAGTTTCTATATGCCAACTTCTCGCCAGCTATTTCTCTCTTCCATTAAGTCATTTGTTAATGTTGTCTTAATGTCCTTTTAAACACCCTTTACAAAATTCTTCTTTTTCAAAGTCACAACGCAGTATTGTATCTTTGATATGATCCACTGGAGAGCTGAAGCAAAATCCAACTTTATTAATATGGTAAAGTTCCACACTGACTGAAACATACCACAGGGAACATAAATCATTTTTTTCTCATAAAGAGAAGATGAATGTAAAGTGTAACCAACCATAGGACCATTCAGGTTACACTCTCAGTCTTTTTAAAGGGCATATATTTAATGTGAGGGAACGTCCACCCCCAGAACAATGTTTAAAGTCCCATCTGCATTCTCTGATGCAGCCACCCTACCGTATCACTGATGTGTAGTCTTTACCTGCAAAATCTAATCATAATATATCCTTCAGTTACATTACCCCAGTTCAATAAAAGAGAAATAGGAGGTGGAGAGAGGAAAAATAATAAAATTTACAAAAAAAAGAAAAAAAAAAAAGAAAAGAAATTGCTCATTAAAGATTCAGGACTGGGGCTTAAGACAAGTTCAGTGTGAGGAAAATAACTAGATTCTGCATAGTGATAAAATTGGCCCTTCACTCTTAAGAGAGAAGGTAGGGGAGTGAAAGACGGGGAGATTCGGTGTGCTCTTTTAATTAAAGTGGAGAAGGAGACGTAGAGTATGCAGCGCCTTCTATTGTCCCCTCTGTATGAAAAAGATTACATTTTGTTGCCGTCAGGATTCCTGATTTCACGCCTTGATAACTTTGACTGTGTGAGGGAGATTGCTCTCTCACGACAAATACTGTGTTCACTAAAGTCAGCCCGTTATCTTGAATAAATGAAAATATTATCATAATAATTACATGTAATTTAATCTCCTTTAGAACTAATTATGGTTTCAATGAGAGGGCAAAATGTATTCCTGAAAATCAAGTCAGCGGGTAGGAGGATAAGAGGACGTTCAAAGGGATTGCTGTGTTTTTGTATGGCGGCAGAAGCCAAAACTCAGCCCAGAATTAACTGCTCTCATTAAGATAAATGGCCACTGGCTGGCCCATCTCATGTTACTCTCACAAACAATATCAGTGGAGAGCAGCCACAATGGAGCTATGAATTAAATAGGGTGACATGTTGTGTGCTGAGAGGTTACCACTGTCCTGTTTATGAGGACACAATGCCTTCTTGGTTCATTAACGATGAACAGTCACAAGACAGGTGTGAAGAGTCATTAAACAGTGATATAAGATAACCAGTTTGATGCTAATGTACTGTGACATCAGTGATGTAGCCAGATCTGTGCACACACACGTGTGACTGCAACTGCACAGCAATCTCGCAAGTGGACCCAAGCAGCAGTAAAGTCACCATGAAGCCGTCCTCCTGTGGGGGGTAGCATAAGGCCAGACATAAATGCATCGCTCTGGCTGCGCTTTATGAGCTTGGAGAGCAAGAGTAGGAGGTTAAAAAAAAAAATTCGTCAGCTAAAGATAGTAACAACGAGCTGTACATCTGCACGGATTTTTAGTTTAGAGTGGGGTGATTCTTCTCTATATGCAACACACAACCTGTGGCCCGGAGCAAATGTCAGCTGTGCACAAGCATGTCTGCAGGTGACAGATAGCTACACCACCCGCAGCCATTATAAATGGTGTTCATCTGTCTGAGTCAAACCTCTGTCTCCTTCTGCATGTTATTGTTTTATCTAAGCACATATTTCATAAATGCTTGGATGCCCTGCTTGTTGACAGCACACTTATCTGTCTGCTGTGCCTCTTATTCCATACGTTTCACAATCAACAATCACTGAAGGGATTTCCCTAAAGAGGCTCAATCAATCAGAGTTCCAACTATGTGAAAGCAAGCAGAGGCAGATTTTGATTCAGCCACATCACAGTTACAGTCTGAGCATCTTCTTCTTCTTTTTTTTGGAAAGCATTCACAGAATCCCAGTGGAACATTCAAAACAGGTTTGACAACAACTCAAACTATAGACCTGATACTTGTCTGAAAGTATACTTGTTGTCTTAAAGTCTTTTTCCTTGACTGGAGGAAGTTTCACCAGTTTAAAGTACATCCAGCAGCATGAAAGAACCACTGCCTTCTGCTCTGTTCATCCATTTCCTCACCCACCAGCTCTCTCTGCCCCTCTCCTCTCCAGACACCCGCATGTTACTCAGCCATGTGCCCCGCCGTCTTCATGCTGTTGTCTACTCCCCACGTGTGACCTGGCTGACTGGCTTCAGCCTCTGTACCCTCCCTTATCCTGAAGTTGAACCCTGCTGCGGGTAGTTCCTCACTACTGCCCTGCCTGCCCTCCAGCACACTGTGCTGAGCTGAGCTGGCTAATCTCTGCGAGCTTAGTGTCGAGCCAAGTGAACATCGGCAGCGAGAACTCCTGTCTCCCCTCTATCTGTTTCTCTCTATAGTTATATCCCATCAAACAAATGCGTGCGCACACACAGTCTTAATATGTGCTGGTTTAAGTATTTTCTTCTCTGCTGTTCAAAGCAGAGTTCTTACATAAACCCCTGGAATGTGAGGACGTGAAATCTCTTCGAGAGCACGCCATTGTAGTGCCCATCACAGATACGGCCCAGTAACCTTGATATTCCTCTCCTCGTGTCCCGCAGGGCATCTGGAGAGAAGTTGGATACTCATATATGAAGGAATCAAACTGGTCAACATGAGCCCTCAACACTGTACCATTATAGAAAATATCAAGGACACATGTTGGGCTACCCACTGAGAAGAAGCTCCTCACTCTGCTCCTTACCGATCCTCTGACATCTACAGCAATACTCTCACAGAGACTCCACCCTCTCCGCCTCTCCGGGGCGAGATAAAGAAAGGCTGCTTGGCAAAGCTGAAGAGAAAGTCATGTCGCTATGGGACGGTGTTGTTGGTGGCAGCAGCCTTATTGTTGACCCACCTGGTGCCAACAGATGTGGATTTTTTGGCCTTAGAGACTGCAAGACAACACTGATCCACACGACAAACATTAGTAACAAATTCAGACTGTCAAAAAAATAAATATACATATAAATAAATGGATAAATAACTAAATAAATATATATATATATATATATATATACATATATATATATAAAGAATATAAGTCCTCAGATCTGAATAAAGTTGTATTTAAATGTGGGTCATGAAGTGAAGGTTGTCTGTTTTACCTTTTTGTTGCTCATGGTTTTGTCATGTGGATGATATACTGTATGGATGAAATGATGGAATTTAATGTGGTTTTCAACATTTTAAAAATCAATAAAGTACACAGAAGTACTTGAGCCACTTCAGTTGTAGAGAAACAGGCTCCGGCATTAATATCTGGTTGTACTCTGTGTGTAGGAAGAGTGTGTCAACAATGCTGAAGTCTCTATTTTCTTGTATTTGCATACCCATACTGTGTGCCAAAGGCAAAGAAAAGATGTGACAAAAAATTTTGCCAAGGGCTCTTGCAGATTTATATGCAGAGAGAGAAAGAGGAAGAGGAAAAGAGAGTAAGGAGGAAAATGGGGTTGAGAGAGACCAAGGAAATATTTCAACTGGAGTGATGCATGAACATAACTTCATCCCCTAATTAGCCTCCTCTTTCGTTTTCCCCCCTCTCGTCTTTTTCGCTCTCAATTTCTTTGTTGTGCGTCTTCGCACTCCTCTTTCATTTTAAAATACAACTGACGGTACATTCATTCTACTTCTTAATGAAATCCCAGAGAACTGTTAATGAGGAGACAGGTTCAAATATTCGGCTCACAACATCCCTTTAAACACAATCGATTAAGGCATGGCTAGCGGCAAAGCCAGGCCCTCCACCCCATTCCCTCCTCACCTCTATGTTCCCATAAAAGAGCTGTGTGCCTCAGGATAACCTTGCCAGAAAGAATGAAAGGGAAGCAAATAAGTCAATGTGGATAGAAAAGAATAGCAACCTTATTTTAGAAGAAAGCAGCAATTGAGGTTAATTTTAAAACTTTGAGCAGAATACCGGGCCAAACAAGCACATGGACACATATGCAGCAGGATGTGCACGGACATATACGGGATGGAAAATTCAGGCAACAGTCACTGATAATACATATCAAAATTTTAGAACAAGTACAGATATTTTAGTTGTCTAAAGAGAAAAAAAACATCAAGAGTATTGCTTCTCAAAGAGGAAAGGGCATTTGAGCATGAGTAATGAGAAACTGGACGATAGTCAATTGAGAAAATAACTAGTCGCGGCACAGGGAGGTGGGAGAAGGCGTGCAAAGCTTAAAATGATAAATAGACATCCAGAAAATAACCTTGAGTTATGAAAACGTGTGTCTGGGGGGAAAGAAAAAACCCAGACAAAATATGAAACAAGAGACCAGGAATGAAGACAACGGGGAACGGCACACTTTGTTTTGAATAACAAGACTATCAGGTCTGCAATTTTATCCTGTGGAGTAACAATTATGAGTCATTTTACTTCATGACCGGTTACATCACAAAGTGTAGTATAAGTGTAATAATATCCACTCTGCTAGTGGATATTGCACCTTACGACATCATCCCTTACTAACAGTGTTGACAGAGCCGAAGCTCAGGCAGGACGCGCTCATTTCTTCACACTTTGAAATTATCAACAGGGATTAGATTAGTATACACGCATGCTGATACACAAAACCAGAGTACTACTGATGGTTCTGATTTTATCAGTCATCTGTTACTAATGTGTTCCTGGTTTCTCCTTGGCAACACTCACATCAGTCTGTAAATGGTAGAATGAGACTAATTTTCTCAGAATATCGCATTGGTTGTTTTTAATATTTTTTTAAATAATTTTAATGTCTTTATTTCCCCCAGGATCTCTTTTAATATCAAATGGACTTGATGGTTTTTTCACCCTAAGAAAAAACTAATCTGATGAAAAAAACATGCAAGGGTTGTAAATATGTTTCATTTTAAAAAGACCATGTCTTGAATTCTGTATGAACACCCTCGCCCACCATTTGAGTGCCTGTAATCTTGTCTTACATCATGTTGGCGACCACAACTGCAGATCTTATAGAAACTGATTAGAGCTTTTGTTACCTGGATACCAACTCCATCCAGATGCAATTTATCATCATGTATTACCTCGCTGCACTTGCTGAATTTAAATGCACTTGATGTTCTTTGATATTCTGGACTGCATGCTGGGGTGGTCATGGTCATGCTTTTACTACGGGCAGAAATGTAAAATGCAAATGTACACACGCACTCCTTTTATGCTAAGGAACACACACACACACGCATTCACATAAAGCAGTTTCATGCCCCAGCATCCTAATAGTCTCTGTGCACTGCTATGCCAATCATGTAACCCCAGGTAGAGTGGACAAGCGGGTAGACCAAGTCTGAGCATCATGGGAGACAGGGTACATCAGACAAGGACAAATACAAGATCAGCCACTCAACACCCCAAGCTCCTTTCATGAGGGAGAACTACAGCTCCCCATCTGCAATTCAGTGTAAGTCTACACAGGACTGGACATACAATACAGGGCAAACACGCTCAACAGAGGCCAGAGAAGAGGCTGGAAGATTATAGTGTAGTGAAGGGGTTGAGGAAACAGCGGGGGGGTAGTTGAGAATGTGAAAGCTTGTTGCGAAAAAAGCACAGATGGCCTAAGGCTACAACATGGTGGGAGGAGGAAAGAATAACTGAATAAACTAATTAGAAGGGCAAAATTTCACACACACCTCCATCGAGTCAGCACTCCTTATTTTCCCTTGAAAAATATGTTTTAGCTATAAATCATTATTATGCAAAGAAAATAAGGCTTTAAGCTGGAAATGCAATAATCAAAGCTCAGGTTTTTACACTTGATTGCATTGTGTAACACAATAACACAGAAGTTTGGGTTGCGGTGGGCGACAGCAGATAGCTTCACACGTCGATGTCAACACGGAAATGCAAGCTGTGCATCTGTGTCATGCAATGTGGCGGTATTAGCTGAAGGCCACGAGGAAGACATTAGGGCCATGATCTCTGTATTAGCCTGAGAAGAGGACACTTCCACTTAACTGAAGGAAGCGTTAGAGAGGAGGGATGATTTAAATTCAGTGACAATGCTTTAAATACCAGCCAGGGATCACAGTTGTGCCCTTTGGCAAAGTAATTATTCACTCCCTTAGAAGACGATCAGGTGTGGATGTGCGGTCGTGCATGCGCACGTGCTTTTGGCGGGGAGTGCGCCAGCATCTGTCTGTGTGCGTGTGTGTGTTCGAGTGAACTGTGAGGCAGCGAAGGAGGTGTGAAATGCTACAGTTTCTCCTCTTTTCATGTAACTGAGAAGTGTTTATGCCAAAGTCTTCAGAGGAGAGAAAAGGGGTGTTCAACTACCGGCTCGATATCAGGTGAAAACCGTGAGAAGGAAAAAGGAGGGAGACATAAAACAAGAGTTATTAAAGGTTAGCTTTCCACCTCTCCATCACTGTCTCTTGCCAGCCTGCTGTCCTCCCGTCCATTATTTTTCTTCCTTCATAACCTTCAACCACAGCCATCCAGATCTCAGAGGGAGGAGCTCTTTCCTGCTGAAGCAAGACAGAGGCCCAGCCCAGGGGCTGAAGTGATGAGACTCATTCAGAAACTGTCCTTCAAAAACTGTAGTCTGATGGATTTTTTTTTTTTTTCGTTTTGTTGTGTTTCTGCTTCTAGATTTCCTAACACATCTTCAGTCCTTTCCTCCTGGCAATGCTTCATCTCCCTAAAGCTCCATCCACTGCTCCTAAGTTATCAAGTAGCCTCAACACACACACAGCCACACTCAGATATCTGCGGGTGTGTTTCTGCTGACAGTCTAGCCCTTTGTACTGCAGGGCTGTTGTTTGATAAGTCAAACACATAGTTAGGGGCCATGAAGCTTCTCGTTATCTACCCACCCCCCTCCCCCCGCGCACACACGTATACACATGCAGACACACATACAAAGTAATTTCCCTTCTCAGGCTTGTCATGGTAACAGTGTAAAAAAACCCAGTAAAAATACAGTACAATGTATAAATGTGAAGGAATTTTCCGTATTAGTTATTAATTAACTTCTGCAACGCTTTGTGTGAGCAAGGAGGGAAAAGTACCAGCGAGGGCAGCCATCACACTGACAGGGTTCATTTGGATTTTACTCTGGAGCTTGAGAAACCGCCTTCATATTTCTGTGGTAAATTAAAGCTCATAGTTTATTTTATTATAAGAATGTTTTCCAAAAGAAGTCAAAGAGGAGGTACTGGTCCGTGTGTGGGCTTCCGGTAAACTTTGATGTTTTGGACATTGAAGAGAATGGCAACCTCAACATCGAAGTTTACCGGAAGCCCTCTTTGACTCCCATCACCCTCTGGAACACAAACTTGGAGTAATTAGGACCCTACACCACCGGGCAGAACATGTTCCCTCTAAGCCTGAAGGAAAAAAGAAGGAACACACACATGTAAAGGAAGCTCTTAAAACATGCGGTTATCCTAACTGGGTGTTTATAAAGTCAGCAAAGAGGCACAGAAAAGAAGATCAGACACCAGCGAGGTAGGATAAGAAAGACAGATGCAACAACATTGTCATCCCCTATGTAGCCGGTTAATCAGAAAAACTCAGGAGAGTTTTCTCCAAGCACGACATCCCGGTGCATTTTAGACCCAGCAACACACTCAGACAAAAACTGGTTCACCCGAAAGACAAAACTCCAAAACACAAACTTAACAATGTGGTGTATGCTGTACAGTGTAGCGAGGAATGCCCAGACCTCTACATTGGAGAGACCAAACAGCCACTTCACAAGCGCATGGCACAACATAGAAGAGCCACCTCCACAGGACAAGACTCAGCAGTCCATCTGCATCTTAAGGATAAAGGACACTCTTTAGAGGATGCCAATGTTCACATTTTGGACAGAGAGGACAGATGGTTTGAAAGAGGAGTGAAAGAAGCCATCTATGTCCACTGTGAGCGACCATCTTTGAACAGAGGCGGTGGTTTACGACACCAACTGTCTGCCATCTATAATCCAGTTTTGAGTTCCTTCCCCAGACGCCTTAATGCCCACTCACATCCTGGGCCATCTGATCTCAGGAAATCGCATGATAAGGTGGGGCCAGGTTTCACAATGAGCTCACCCGAAACCCTGGCTGATTGGGACCCACACCCATTTTCACACCTTGGCTCAGGTGATTAGAGGATCATCAGGGAGCCCTTTTGTCCCTCTACTGAATAAATCCTGACCGGGTTCAACAGTTGAGATGGAGGAGCAAAAAATGTTTTTCTTTAAACTTGATGCGCTGAACATTCAGACCTCAGGCTGCATTCAGGACTTCATCGCACTGGTACATGAAGAGAGGTACCAAGAACACGTGTGCACACATGTACAAACACACAGTGTCTCACTTTGTGCTTGCTCTTCCCCTATCCCCAGGTGTCACTTAGTCTTGTGTTATCACTGTCTTATTCGTTGTGATTTAGAGTTTGTTACACAAGTCGAGGTTTTTGCTTGGGAAATAACCGTGACCTTGTTTTCAGAGACTTCTCAAACATTTTATGGTCGTGAAATATGTCAAACCTTTCTCCCCTCCCTACAGTTTAACAGCTGAGAGCATAGCGGAGAAAAGATGTGCACTGAGAATTTTGAACTAGGACATTTAAGCATGGTCACCGCTAAGGATTTTTGGACACAGGTGCGATTCATATAGCACCACTTAACAGTCAATAAATCTTGTCTCAAGGCACTTTATATGGTAAGGTAAAGACACTACAGTGTTAATGTAGAACAACTGTTCGCTCGGATCCATTGATGAAGTGAGTTTGGTAATCAAAAGTGAGTTTTTGGCCATAACTGACTACATGTGAATACAATATCATGGAATGAACAGACAATCTGGCTGAGGCAAAACAACCACACCTCTAGCTTAAAGGTACTCTGGATATTGTTAAATGTGAAAATATTGTTACATTTCTTTGTTAGGTATCCTGTTTGAAGAAAACACTCTGGAGCCACTTGAATGCATGTATATGAACACATTTACATAAGGACAAACTGACTTCAAGGAAAACAAAAATGCTCAGATTTTAAAGTTTTTGAGTTATGTTGCTCATGTATTAGCTGTGTAGTCATTTCATGATGAGATGGATGCTGTCATTATATTTTAGTGTAGTTTCTGAGTCGAAGAGGATAGAATAAAAGGATATTTAACATAACTAAGCACAGATTATTTTAAATGTAAGAATTTTTGAGTAAAGGGTGTATTAGGTTTTAATTGCATTGAAATGTATGAGTAAGAATATAAAGAAGTATATTTAATGAGTTACATTACCGTGTGAGAAGTGCCTGTAAATGGTAATATAAACAGAATTTTCCATTTTACCATTTATGAAAAAGTCTGTGAATTTACGTAAAAAAACAATGTCCTGGCAGAAAATTAACAGGAGATTTTCTGTTTTTCTACAGATTTGTTTTTAAATAATGATAATTCAACATCAGCTCAGTTCATCACAAACCCAATGACGTGCATATTCAGCTGCAGACAACACACAGCACTTAATCAGCCTTCATTTGCCTCCTTTTCTGTTTAATATATGACCATGTGTCCTCTTGTTTAGAAAAGAGGAATTCTGTTTAAACAGTTTTGCCTATCACCTCTTCCTAACAACAGCATGTCCTCCTGCAATAAGCAGGAGCCATTTTAACTGGCATGTACAGGCATGTTAAAACAATGAGGCTCCTCACCAGAAACAAGATGTACTAACAGTAGTTTCACCTCAAGATTTTCCTTACAGAAATAGCAAGAAATCCTATAACAGCATTTTTTCCCCTACAAAACCAAAAAGTCTGGTCCTAAAGCCTCTGTAAAGTATCTGGAAAAAAACTTTTTTTGCTGCAAAGACCTCATTTTATTACACTGAATGAAGTGAAATTGGTGACTGGGCTTTGCCATTTACTACTCAGTAAAAAGAGAAAGCTGCAAGAGCAGGATCATTGCAGGAAGGTAATTGGAAGACTAGACTTTAACGTGACCTCTCAATGACAATGGACGGTCATGCAGTAAGTCGCAGTCTGACATTTTAACAAATTATAAGGGGATCAAAGCACACAGTTGATTAATTATTTCATATATAGTGCTAGAACATCTGAAATGCTGGTCAAAAAGAGCAACAATTAGACAGCACCTTTACAGCTTCTCTGGTGGGTATCATCTAAAAGTGGTGGGAGAATAATTTATATTCTTTACTTAAGTAAAAGCGGCTAAATTAAAATGAGAAAGAAAGAAATAAGACTTTCATGTTCCAAGCCTTACTTAAACCTCCATTAATCAAACCTTGTCCACTTAGGGCCATTGCAATATGTTGCAAACAAATTATTACCTTAACCTCACGGTGCAGAAACTAGCAAACACTGTCTGAATCCAGTTACAAACAAGTAGAGGCCTATTTTTGCCCTCTGGATGAAATAAACAAGGCATTCATTTTTATTTTATTTTTATTTGTGCTCTGCTGCTTCCTGGGTAAAATTTTTGACTAACTTCCTCGTTCTTTTTAATGCTGCTAAGGGGGTGAGATTGTGCAGTTTACAGTTAAGCAGCTTTGAATGGTTATCTGATTACCTTTAGATGTTGCCACAGACTGTATATAAAGGATGGACTTAGGCTAAAAAAAACCCGCATTCTATTAGATGGCCAGCAGGGGGAGACTGCTCTTGATTCGTAAATATTTATCTGTTGTGTTTAAAGTCTTGTTTGCTAGTCTTATTAAATACATACATTTTGTAAATTATGATTTCCTTTACTGTAATCAATATATTATACCATTCAGGACCGCTAACATGGGTCACTTCAGACTGTAGAAATAGATATGACTGTGGACTTCTTCTTAAACTACAGTTCTTTGGAGCAGTTTTGGAGCTCCTGTGATTATAAATCATACAGATTTCACCTGTGACAGTTAATCAGAACAGTAAACAGCTTGGTTCAGTTCAGCAGTTTTGATTTCCTTCTTTAATTAACAATGCAGCTATAAAAGAAGAAAATAGCTAAAAGTTTAATTTTGCCTCTAAAACATAGTGAAAGAGTGGAAAAAATACAACTGTTGTATTCTAGTAATTATTAGGTGACCTTCACCAAACTGTGCTCCAGAAGAGTCAGTCGTATACAAATGATTCATCGCACAAATTTCTAATGTGCACAAACACACTGTAATCAATATGCATGGTCTATCTTCCACTTAAAAGTATTTACAGCTGAAGTAGCATTGCCATCGTCTCTGTTCTCAAAGGGTGCTCTCTATAATGTGCTGACATGCTCATTTCAGTGATAGATATCTCTATTCAGCAAATAATTTTTGCTCATTACCTGTAGAACAATGTCTCCTGTACCTTCTCAGACCCCTACTTAAAACAAAATTATGTTTTGACACCAAGTCAGTGCACAAGTCCTAAAATCTTCTGAGTAGCTCACGATTTTATGATGCACCTTTTATCATCCTGTCATGTGTGCAAAGTATGACCTCATCAAGAGATCGCTGTGCAATTGTTGACGTTAGCTAGAAAACACTGCCATCGGGGAACAACAGTGCACCAGGGAGATGATGTCTTTTGCCTTATATTCCTGTAATATGATGACCTTCACCTTAAAGACTGTAGTATACAACTGAAACTTTTTAAAAACAATTAAATTATTGAGGCTGTATGGGCAAAGGGATTCTAATTCATCGCTGGATGCCTCCTGCATTATGGTGTCTTTTGAGACACATACACACAATATTTTCTACTGTGAGATTTTATAGAAAGAAAGGTGGATACATGGATAGATGGATGTGCACACTAGCACATGATAGAGATGTAAGGGTAAGACAATTCCTTTCACGCAGTGGGATTTTTTTTTTTTTTTTTGCTGGATCAAACAAGTCAGACGATTGGAATTATGAGCAGGGTCAGTGCTC